GCAAAAACGCACGGCTGCTGCAAAAGCTGGAAGAAGAAAGGTTTGGGTGAAGTATCATGAAGGACCATGAATCAAAACGTGAAGAGTGGAGTCACAGCTTGAAATCGTTCAGCGGGTACACATCCATGGCCAGTGGATGCTTCCCTCTCTGATGCATAGCTTCGTTGGACGGAGTAGCATCAGAGAGCCCTGTCCCCCTGCTGGAAGTTGGTTGAAAGAACCCTTTGAGACAGGGCTGGACACACGCACACACACCGTGCCACGTGTGTGTGCGTGTGTGTGTGTGTGTCAACCCCTGTTCTTAAGGGTTCTGTCAGCTACCACGGCAGGGGGCACAGGCCCATCGTGGATACCTGTGCCAACGAAGCTGTTCCACGATGGGGGATGCGGAGATTGATCACCTCCGTGTACCTGCTGAACTTTTGTACAAGCTGTGACTCCACTTTTCCCTTGTTTGTTTCCATGGTGGTTCCACGATACTCTCCCCAAAACCTTTTTCCTTCAGCCGCCTTCAGCTGCCGCGCGTTCGTGAACTGCAGATGTGCACAAACTATTGTTGAAACATCTTCAAGTGCTCCGACCCTTTCACCTTTCGGTTCCATCGCCATTTCTCCTGCGAATTGAGCTAACTGAAAACCAATGTCAGAGTGTGAACCGCTCAGCCGTCCCACTTGGGTGCTGGGTGTGATCCTCCGCAAGGAGGCGCTGCTTTCATACCGGAAATCGTTTTCCTGATTTATCGTCTTTTCATCGTGGATCACTGTCTTTACTTCCATGCCAATACTGAACTAAGAGGATTGCAAGCTGCCGGGCTTTTCTACGGAGAACACCTGCTTACTGACAACATAGCCGCCGGGCTAAAAAACGGACTTCCCCCCTGAGGTCAGGCATGTTTTCCTACCCTAACCCCTACCTAATTAGGGTAACAGAGGGAAATGGTACTCGGCACACTTGTGTGTCGGTGCCTTTCCCTCTGTTGTCCCGTTTTTAGTCTTCTCTACCTGGGCGGTCTAAGAGTAAAGTCCCGCTCCCTAACTATTGCACGCAATTCGCTTCTGCTAAGTAGTCAGTAACTCTAGAGTGCTAAGTATTCATACACACACACACACGGACACACACATGTACATACACTTCCCTGCCCCCCCCCCCCTT